TCGATACCAGCTAGGACTAGAAGCCACTTGATCCAATGAGCAATCGTGGGATATGACACTGGCTTGTGAGGTCGAACGTAGGACACCAGTAGGGGTCCCGTTCGCATGCCCTTCGCAGAAGTCTACATATGGAGGGGTGCTTACAAACCGCGGAGTTGTCAACAAGGCTATGGGCTGCCGAAATGGCTGAACGGACAACGTTAATTGACCGATAGGACTTACCCTGTTCGAAAAGTAATGCCAGGAAATTCATAATGTTAATCAGAGAGGTTGAAAAGGGATCAACGTCCCTCTCCAAGCACCAGCTATTCCAGCATTGCCACGCTGAGAGATAAGAACGTCTTGTGCCTGGGGCCCAAGAGTCCCATAGTAGTCCTTGAGCAGTAGTCGAAAGGCCTGAGACATTTCAGGATCCCCTGAAATGGTCCAGGCCACTAACCAAAGGTGGCCTTATACTGCTAGTGGATGGAGGTTGCCTGAGGGGTCCCTGAGGAGATTGTATGAGGTGGGTAGGAGTAGGGGGTAGTCCACTGTCATCTCCAGGAGATAAGGGAACCATGGTTGAGTTCGCCACAGTGGGGTTACCAGAGTTATGGTGACGCCCTGTGTTCTGAGGTATTGGATCGTACGTGGAATCATGGAGAATGGGGGAAAGGCATACGCTCCGGATGTTGGCCACGGTTGAAGAAAGGCATCCACTGCCAGGCACGCTGGGTCTGGGAGCCAGCTGCAGAATGTGTCCATCTGACGGTTCAGGCAAGATGCAAATAGGTCCAGGTTGAATGGCCCTCTCAGGGTCTGTAGATGATGAAAAATTTGTGGGTCCAGTTGCCAATCGCTGGAATCCCTCCAGTGGCTTGAGAACCAATCTGCGACGAGATTGTCGAAGCCTGGGAGATATTCCGCACGAAGGGAGATATTCCTGTCCAGGCAGAATTGGTACAATTCCTTCGTCAGATCTGATAGCATCTTTTATCGCGAGCCACCTAGGCGGTTCACATATTGTACTGCTGAGACGTTGTCCATCCTCAGGATGAGGCTGCAGTTGTAGGCTTCCTTGGCAAAACTGCGGATCGCGAAAGAACCAGCAATCAGTTCGAGGCAATTGATATGTAGTGCCTGTTCTGATGGGGACCAGAGGCCTCCGGTAGAAAGTTCCGAGCAGGTGGCACCTCATCCGAGGAGACTGGCATCCGATTCCAGAATAAAGTCGGGTTGCCGGCCGAAGATAGCCCTTCCGTTCCAGGCTTCCATATGTTGAAGCTACCAGTGGAGTTCTAGTTGGACTTCGTCTGTGAGGAAGATCTGTTGGTCGTAGGATGGGGAGCGATGTAAGTAGTGTGTTCTCAAACGTTGCATCGTCCGATAGTGTAGCGGGGCTGGGAATATTGCCTGGATTGAGGTGGAGAGTAATCCGATTGTGCGGGCTAAATCCCTGAGTCGGAGGTATGGCGAGGTTAGCAATCTCCGGATGTCCTTTTTTATGGTTTTGATTTTCGTAGCAGGGAGTTGCAGGACTGCCTGAATCGAATCTATCTGGAATCCCAGAAACTGTATCGTCTGAGATGGAGTCAGAGATGATTTTTGGAGGTTGATGTTGAAACCCAAATTCTGGAGAAGGGCCGAAGTCATGTCCGTATGGAGATGTAGAGTCTCTTTGTCTTGTGCCATAAGGAGGATATCGTCCAAGTATATGATGGACCGAATTCCTTGTGAACGGAGGAGCGCCATCACCGGTTTCATTAGTTTGGTGAAACACCAAGGTGCAGAGCACAGTCTGAAGGGGAGGCAGGTGAACTGCCATAGTGTCTTGTCCCAATTGAATTGGAGGAAAGTGCGATGTTCTGGCGTGATTGGTATCGTGAGGTATGCATCTTTGAGGTCGAAACAGGAAAACCAATCTCCCTCGCAGAGGAGGTCTCGTAATAGGTGGATTCCTTCCATCTTGAAGTGTCTGTATCTGATGAATTTGTTCAGTTCTCTCAGATTGATGACTGGTCGGAATTCTCCCGACTTTTTCTTGACCAAAAACATATTGCTCACGAAACCTCGTTGGGTGAGGGCCCGTTTGATGGCACCCTTGTTGACTAGGTCGTCGAGTTTGGCTTGAAGGGCCATGTCGTCTATTTGAGACATCTTGAGAGGGGTAGGCAAGGACACCTGAATTGGATCCTCTGTAAAGTCTAGGTGGAAGCCGGAGACGGTCTGAAGGATCCACGGATCCTGCGTGAGTCGGTACCACTGTTGGGAAAAATTTATTAATCGGCCTGTTATAGGTACATGAGAAAAATGAGAGTCCCTTACCTGTAGGAGTGCGACCGCGGAGGGAAGCAGATCCACGTCCTCTAATGGATCCACGAGAGGGGAAGAACTGCTTGTGGTGGAAATGGGTATTGCCCGAGTTCCAATGTTCGGAAGGTCGAGGCCTATAGCCTGTAGAGGCAGCTCTGCCAGCTGTCCGGCCTCTGTAATGGCTGGCTCTCCCAGAAAAACATTGGGACCTAAATACCTTGTGTAAGGAAGATTGCGCTTTTGTAAGCGTAGTAAACACAGCCACGTGTTTACTTAATTCTTTAATAAATTTGTCTCCAAAAAGCATACCTTGTGCCTCAGGGCCAAGCTCTTTAGTGCCTAATTCGGCAAGCTTTGAGTTGATCTTATATAAGGCGGCTTTCCGTCTTTCGGTTGACATGGCAACATTCGCGTTGCCTAGTAGGCATAATGCCCTCTGTGCCCATTCTCGCACCATATGTGCATCTAAAGTGCCACTTGCCAAAGCCTCATCTGTGATAGTGAAAATCTGGATAAGCGGTCCCACCATATCCATCATTTTATCTTGTGTGGCCTTCAGGCCTTGTTCCAAACCCTTACGGGGGTCTTTTCCTGTCTTGTACAGAAAGGTGACGAGTAAGGGATCGAATTCTGGGGTAACCGCCACCTTGTCTGGGATTACAGGTATTCTGCCCTTAATTTAGCTCTGACCTCTTTTTCCAAAGGTTTACGGAGCCACATCCTACAGAACTTAGCTATGTGGTCTGGGGGGCTCCACTCTGCAGAGCGTGGGTGTTCGATATATCTAGGGTCGAACAGGGGGCGGCCAGAGGTATCTAATAAAATATCCTCAGATATGTTTTGGTTAGGATCAGAGGTATGGAGCTCATTTTGGTGGGGTTCATGGGAGGGAAGGTCCTCGTCCGAATACCCTGCAGAGTATTCATCCAGTACCTGAAGTTGCAGGTTGGAAGTTGAACCCTCTAATGGGTCAAAGTTATAATTGGGGGTATCATCCCGAGTACCAGAAGGGATAATCTAGGTGCTTTTGCTGGTGCCTTGCCTTTACCGGCGCTAGCACTATTGCCCTTCCAGGACTGATGAAAGTCTGTGAGTAACAGACTGAAATGTCGATTTATTTGTAAAGTTAATTAAAAGTTAAGTTTTATACTTTTTCTAAGTCCTGGCAGTGCTATCTGGATTATCTATTGTTATATTCTCGCCTGACAAGCACCGGGCAAGTATATTTTAAATATTGGATTATTTTTTATTTTTATATATGAATATATATATATATATATGAGCAGACATTAGGCTGTTAGAGTAGGACCTGCCAAAGATGGGGTACATTGATATTGTGGCAGGCTTATGCAACGTATGATCATATAATGTAACTAAACCCCCATTATTTTTTTCAAGAGTAGGTGTTTTTAAAAAAACTAATACATTTTGTCAACATTGAAGTTGCTGTTTAGTGGATAAGTGAGTGTGCTGGATCTTGTGTAGTGATGTACCGAACGGTTCGCCGGCGAACGGTTCCTGGCGAACATAGCATGTTCGCGTTCGCCACGGCGGGCGAACATATGCGCGGTTCGACCCGCCCCCTATTCGTCATCATTGAGTAAACTTTGACCCTGTACCTCACAGTCAGCAGACACATTCCAGCCAATTAGCAGCACAGCCTCCCTAGCAGACCCTCCCACCTACTGGACAGCATCCATTTTAGATTCATTCTCAAGCTGCATGCTTAGTAAGAGGAGGGAAAGTGTAGCTGCTGTTCATAAGATAGGGAAAAGCATAGCTAGGTTAGGGATAAGGGTATGCTTTTTTTGGATTTTTTTTTTCTATCTAATGTAAATGCACTTAGTTGTCTGCCACTGCTGCCAGCTTCTGTGTCAGGCTCACAGTGCCCATTTCCCCAGTCAGTGCCACCAATTACATCTGGTGTCACAATAGCTTGGATTTAAAAACAAAAAACTTTTTTCACTGTTATAGATTGAATAGCAGTCAGTTGTCTGCCACTGCTGCCAGCTTCTGTGTCAGGCTCACAGTGCATACTGTGCCCATTTCCCCAGTCAGTGCCACCAATTACATCTGGTGTCACAATAGCTTGATTTAAAAACAAAAAACTTTTTCACTGTTATAGATTAAATAGCAGTCAGGCTGTCTGCCACTGCTGCCAGTCAGGTCAGGCCAGTCTTACAGTGCATACTAAAAGTCTATTTTCTCAGTCAGTGCCACCAATTACATCTGGTGTCGCCGTAATAGCTTGGATTTAAAAAAACAAAAAACTTTTTTACTGTTATAGATTGAATAGCAGTCACTGCGTCCTAAAAGCGTGTGTAAGCTACGCTAACAAAGTGGATACGCTGACAAGTGCCACTAATTAGATCTGGTGTGCCAATAGTTTGGATTTAAAAAAAAAATAATCTTTTTTCACTGTTATAGATTGAATAGCAGTCAGTGTCCTTAAAGCGGGTGTGTTACGCTAACAGTGGATACGCTGACCAGTGCCACTAATTAGGAT